TAGAAAATGTAAACGGGACGAAACGAGTGTGGGACGAAACGAGAGGGGACGAAACAAGTGTGGGACGAAATGAGACGGGACGAAACGAGAGCTAATTAACAAATACGGGACGAAACGAGAGGATACCTCGTTTAGAAGTAGAAGAAGAACTTTTTAAGCAATTTAATAAATTTAAGAAGCATATTGCTGAGACAGTATTTGAACCATTATTTAGCAATAAACCAGAAGAATCGAGAAAAAAATTTGTTGAAGCTTTAGAAACTATTTTGAAAGATCGATGGGCATTTTGGTTAGATGAAGCGAAAGAAAAGATTGATGCTGTTGAAACATCGTATAAAAAAAATGCTTTATTAAAAGAATACAACAATTCGTTTATAAAAGAATTAACTAAGCTTTTAGAAGGATGCTCATTAGATGATTTATTTGAAAAATTTGTTGAAAAACCAGAAGAAACTATTCAAATAGGAAAAGTTTGTCTTTCAGAAAAAGATTTTGACCTAGCTAAAAAATGCTTTGAAAAAGGAATTCAATGTGGAGATATATCAGGATTCGCAAATATAGGACTGGCATTTTCTATAATTCAATTAAATGCGAAAGAAAATGTTAAAAAACAATCAAGAAAACAATTAAAGAAAGTCATATATTCTTTAGAAGCGGTTAAACGAAATTTAATGGCAAATCTTAAAATTGCCGAGATTCTTCCTCCATCCACTGTTGATGTCTTAAAAACAATCTCTTCAAAAGAAAATTATTATCAGGAACAGATTACTGGAAAACTAGAAGTTATTGGATTACATTTACATTATTTAAGAAAAGCTGTTGGAGACATAGTAGAGCCATATGATTTTATACTACAGACGAACGAGGAGCAAAAATCAACCAAAGAAAATGCTGAAAAAGGAGAGAAATTATATGATCTTTTAGTGCAAGGCGGAATCATTTACGGAGATAGAATAAGAAAAGCATTTCGTAATGATTCGAAAGAACGAGCAAATATGGAAAATATTATCCGAGATAATATTGATCCTGCGATTGCTGATCCATTAATTAGTTTATTAGAAAGACACGATAACTTTAAAAAAGAAGATTTTGAAAAAATCGTTTGTTGTAATGAAGAACTATGGGAAGCTTTAAATGTTAAAAACGCTGAAGTAGTTTTTATATTAGATGTAAATAGAATAAAAAAGACTTACCACAGAAATATGAAAATGTTTGGAAAGAAATACAAGAGACAGTGGACCCAAAACAAGTTGATAGATCGATATTTGACGGTTCTACAGAGAAAAACAAATTTAAAGTCTATTTAGAACAGAACCAAATACTGACTCAAACTAAACGAATTAAAATCGATGAATTAAATTTCAATTCTTTAAGATTTGACCATCAAAAATACGCAAAAGTTAAATTTAACGACAATGGTCATGAGACAAAGGATCTGAAAACGTTTTTAATAGAATTACAAGATAGTATTAAAGAACATAGTGAATATTTTTATCAGACAGATTTACCATATGGTACAAGAGAAGAGGAAGGAAATAAAATTCGAATATTTTTAAAAGATAAAAATATCCTCAAATCAGGCGGACTTGCCATTCATAATTATGGTAATAAGCAAGAAGAGATTGATAAACTGTTAGATGAAATTTTAGAAGATAGTGGTTATAAAAATGACAAGAAACTAATTCAATCTAAACTATCAGTTTTACAAGGAGGTATTCGTTCATATAAAGATAGTTTAAAAGCAACCCTTACAGATTTTACTGATCTTCCAGATCAAGAAATTGTTCCAACTGAATTAAATTTTTTTCAAGGACTTGCTCTGAATAAGTTTTTAATTATTAAAGAAGATAAATCCTGGTGGGATTGGAATGCATTTGCCGTTGCAATGATAGAACTTGCCCAAGTCATTGCCGGCGCAGTCTTAATCTCATTCGGTGCTGTTAATATAGGAGGTGCTCTAGTTGCCGAAGGCATTTCTGATATGGTATATGCAACCATGGCAGGACTATCAGGCAATTTTAGTTGGAGAGATTGGGCAATACAAAAGGCAATTAGTTTTAGTATTTCTATAGCTACTGCAGGTATCGGTAACATCGCTGCTAAATTAGGTTTAGTATCTAGAGCGGCATTATTTGCGCAAATACTTAAAGGAGCAGCATATGAGTTTGCTACTACTTGTTTAACTAACATTTTAACTAATCAAATTATGGAACAAGTTCAAGAAGGTGTTGTACAAAAGATTGTTAATGGGATAGAAACAAATTTTCTAGAAGAGATCAATCAATCAATAAGTAATAAAGTGCAAAATCTTTACGTTACCAGTAAAACTGACAGAGAATTTGAAGAATCTTTTAGTCAAATGGAAAAAATATGAAAGGTACATTAGGAAAAAATACACTATTACCAAAACAATTCGATAATATTCGAATACAAGTTGTATCTGCCTTAGAAAATAGTTATGATCAGTTTGCAGAAGGTCTAAATAAGTCAAGTTCGAAATACGCTAAAATGGCTGCTACTGCAATTAAAACAACAGTTATGATAGATCAAATGTGGAGTTTAGTTCAATCCGTTGTACGACTAAATGACGCGATAAGTACTATTAAACAGATTACTGAAGGTTCAATTAATACAACAAATCAAAATGCTCAGACCAGAGAATTAAACGATACACTTGTTAAAGCAAGAGCAGATCAATTGAGTAGTATTCTTAAAGCACATATATCACAATTCTTAACGAGAGAATTAGATAGAGTATTAAGACAAGTTATTCGTGGAACATTAAAAAAAGTTGGTCAAGCAGTTGTACAAAGTACAAAGGTAATGATTGATTCACAGTTTAATGGACAAAATGCTATGCACTAAGAGAGTCTAATCAGAATCAACAAGCTCAAACTAGTGTTGAACAACCTTCATTGAAGCAGGATTCTCAGAAAGACGAGCAAGATAAGGCTAGAAGAGAAGATCTACAAAATAATATAAAGAATCCTAAAATAGGCATGGAAAATCATTTAGATGAAATGAAAGATAAAGATAGAGGCTTGGGCATTGTTGATGTAAAAATGCTTGTGAATAGTGAAAGAAGAAATCTAATCCTTGTTGATTCAGAAACTGGAAAAGAGCAAGTTATAAATCCTGAAGGACCAAGAAAAATACCTGCCTTTTTTAAACAATCAGCCAAGATAATGTTTAAACCAGATGAAAATGGAGATATTGGACATTTTATAACTGCTAGAGGTGAAGAAACATATATACAAGTAAATGGACGTACAGACTGTTTGTTAATAGCTTATAATGAATCCCTTGGTCGAAAAGTAGATGAAGATATGATAGAAAATGAAAGAGAAAAGTTAGTTCAGTACACTGTTCAACATTCAAAAACATTTGAGAGATATAAAAAGATCTAGAAGAGAGTGGATGTAATCAAATAATTGGTGGGAAAAGAGCTCCTGAACCGCACCTTGACGACATAAAAACTGATCCACCTGAAATTTTGGCAGGTAGTTATGGTGACTTATGTAGAAAATATCCAAAGCGGAAAGGTGTTTATGAAATACATCACATTCCTCCAGCATCTTGCTATGCATGTACACCTTATGAAAAGATCAGTCGATATGATATGCCAGCAATACTCATGCATAAAGAAGATCATAGAGCGATTCTTTCGACAGGATCGAGTACAGAAGGTAAAGAGCATCGCAAACAAATTCATGAACTCATGAGAAATGGACATATGTCTGTGGCTATGGAGGTAGAACTAAATCATACAACAAATACGGCTAAGGAAAGAGAACCCTATGCAAAATATACTAATCAATATCTTGATTATGTGGCAACTAAATCAGTACGAAACGCCCCACAAAACGAAGATAAAACAACTACTCTAATAACTAAGCAACAAAAACAGGCACTAAAAGAAAAACTCGATTTATCCAAAAAGAAATAATTACCGTTGAAAGGAATTAACAAGCTAGTCAGTCTAAGGGGAACTTTTTCTTGGTATTATTGTAAGTATCATTGTTATATATAGGTATTATATTTATCTTTTTGTTCAATAAGAAATTTGAATTTTTGGTTGTTAGATCCCTCCCGTATTAGAAGCCGTATGCTGAATCTCTTCAGCCAACGTTTGCAAGGCGAAATAGAACCTTCGTCAGGCTTCTAATATGAAAGAGGATTTATTCATAATCTTATAGAATTCACTATAAAATTTTGACTGTCAAATTTTCTCCGATCTTTTTAGACTTTCGTTTACAGGCACCATTCCTTAAAACTAATTCTTCTTCAGAATATATTCATGACTTTGATTTTCATCCTTTATAGTTCTCTCTCACATTTCTAATTTTATTTTGCTTTGACAGTACATCATTTTTAACTGAGTTGACCATCTTCAAAGAGTCAATGCATTCATAGATTTCTTTTATACAATGTTTTTGTTTACTTTTATACATTTTCTAAAGAGGACCATCTCATTCGTTGAAAAAGACCGATAAATTACTTATACCGGATGCTTTGAGTATATAAATTTTATATCAGTACTTTTTACAGGTCTTTTTCGTGTGAACTGAGCAAATATATAGTATATGATACGAATATCATGGTTTGCAGTGAAAATATCGCGTCTCCTTCCAATTCTTATATTAGATAAAATACGCACGACTTACCTAGAATTGTGAATTATCAATAAGAAAATAACACAAGTGGATTTGTGTAAAATATCAGAATAAGCAAAACAAAAGAAGAATGGCTAGTGAAGTTTCCTACTGGCCAGAACATGAGTTAACTTTTCAAGTGAAACAACCGACTGTAAGCTCTTACTTCATACTTGTTCGCGCTAGGTTGACTTTCTTAATTGTTCATTGACAATTTTCTAGTTATTACACATTTTTGTCTCTAAGTTCTCAATAGAAACTTATCTCTATGAAATTCGTCTACCGGTGATTTTCGTTTTTTTATGAACATAAATATAACTGACTCACATAAGACTGTCTCTAAAACCTAGTTTTTCATTGCGATACTGCACATTTTAGTAGTAATTTTAAAAAGTCTTTCATGTACAAAAACTCACACTTTGACTATCCATTTTTATCTTTTGCTACTATAAAATAGTTGGTATTAATTTCGAAGAGAAAACCAGAGCTGGGCAACTCAGCTTAAAAAGGGAATTAATTCGATTCGATTCATTTGAAAAAAAATTCAATTCGATGATTTTTGAAAAAATTTTCCATTCAATTCGATTCCATTCACGAATTGAATTGAATCCAGTTGAGTTGGTCGTTTTTTGTATTGAGTTGCCCAGCTCTGGAGAAAACTAAACAAATGCTAGCTTATAACTATCAAAATTAACAACTTATACTAAGGGTGTTCCAAAAGTAATGGCAACATGCTTTATTACCATTTAAAAATTAAAAACTTTCAAAAACTAAGCAATGCATAATAAAGTATATTCAATAAGCTTTCGAATGATATATAATAC